TATACTAAAGGCCAGCAAGAAAACTATTTATTATTTCTTGGAAGTTACTTTGGCCACTCAACACCTCAGTTGATACTCTTATTTATTGTCATCTACGTTTGGATAATATCCAGAGTCTGGTAGACTTATCTGTACAAGATACATTTTCTTTTCGATATAACTTTTGCTTCAAGAGAGTGATTATAATTTTTAAATATAATAACTAAAACCATACATAAATATATAATTTATCTAAAATACATTCTGTAATTAAATATCTTTCACTCCGCGTAACTTGAAGCTCAAAGAACATTGGCTTGTTTTATAAGTATGAAATTCGCATCACGTCTACTTTTCCTTAATTCTCTCATCTATTTAAACGTTGTGGTACTTCAACATGGAAAAAAGAAACGGAAACGAGAGACGTTGTCGAGAATATAAAAGTCACTTTTTTAACACATTCAGTAAACAATGTTTATTTTTGCTTTTTATCACATAACGATGTACACTAGTTTAGTGTACGTATTGCCGGTCATGCTATATTACAGCTAGTAGTACTAAAAATCTTTAAAACACTCAGAGATTTATGACCTCTATAGTTTTCTCGAAGTTTATCTAGTGATAGAAAACGTAATTATGGTATCCGCAGCATAAGAGTAACCGACATAGCGCAACAGATTAGTTAATTGTGCAATAGGAGGAGCCGTGCAGTTTAAATAATCAATCAGATTTTACATATATTTTCTTATGTTTAATTTAACCCATTTTACCTATTAATATTACTAGCTACAACCCAGACTACCTTCAGCCCTTAAAATATTAATTTTCGGGCTGATTCGGGCAGAACAAGCTTACAGTGTCTTGAAATCATTCAAAAGTATGCTTGGCTTTACATTTAATTTAATTTAAAGTGATCCTGTCCAGCAGCAATTGGAATAACGACTTTACTTACTTACAATCCCTGACGGGGTAGCCAGAGAGAACAGATCGCCAAGTGTCACGATCCTTACATACCTATTTCGCTTCTTTCAGATTCGTTATCTTCTTCATACATGCACGTCTAGGTATCCGAGTACTCTTGACCCTACCCTCTTCGGGCAATTTGTTCACATGGTCTTCGAAAGTTAGTCTCGGTCTACCTCGACACCTTTTAATATTAACTTTCGCGCTATATATTTTCTTCACCATTCGGTCTTCACTCATTCGCTCAACATGCCCAAACCACCGAAGCTCGCCCTTATCAATTTTTGTGATAAGGTTATCTTTCAAGCCTGCCATATTGCGAATCTCTTCGTTTCGCTTTCGGTCGGCCATGGTAACGCCGCACATTTTACGAAGAGATCGCATCTCCACTGCATTCAACTTGCTTTTATGCTTCTTCTGGCATACCCAGGTTTCGCTGCCATATAACAAAGTCGGTACCAACACTGCGTTATGTATTGCAAGGCGTGCACTCTTCACTACGCCTTGCCTTTTGACTAACGCAGTCAGGGCACCATTGACTTTGTTCCCGACAGCGACACGCCTGTCCACATCTAAATCACATCTTCCATCCCGGCTAAAAGCACTCCCTAAGTATACAATTTCATTTACTTGTTCTAGACATTCCTGATTTACCCATATTTCACACTTCGTTCTCTCATCGTCCCTTTCAAATACCAGAACCTTAGTTTTATTAGCGTTAAAACAGAGACCTTTAATTTCACATTCCTCTTTCATACACGTGACTAATGCCTGCAGTTCTGCCTCTGATGGTACAATAAGCACTGCATCATCAGCATACAGCAGACAATTTACTTTTATGTCACCCAATTTCACACCCAAACAGCTATCTTTCAGCTTTTGTAAACAGCTGTCGAGATACAGTATGAACAGCCAGGAAGACATGACACAACCCTGTTTTACGCCCGTTTGGACGCTAGACATGGGTGACAGGTCATGCCCTACCCGCACACAGGCTTTACAGTCACAGTAAAGAGACTGCACAGCCCTTAGCAATCGATCATCCACACCATACCCCGGCAACAGTTCCCACATTTTCTTCCTTACAACCTTATCAAATGCTTTCTCATGATCCACAAAAGCACAGAAAATCCTCTGGTTAGCAGCCAGAAGCTTCTCCATGATCATGCGGAGAGAAAACATTTGATCCGTGCATCCTCTTCCAGGTCTAAATCCGCATTGTGCCTCCCATAGAAATCTTTCCGATTTCTCTTGCATTCTACGTGTCAAAACCTTCGAGTAAACTTTACTTGCTAAATTGGTCAAGCTGATCGCCCGATAGCACCCGCAATCAAAATGTGAACCTTTACCTTTATATAAAGGCACAATGACTGCGGATCGCCAATCATCCTGGACCTCCCCCGTCCGCCAGCACAAATTGCATAACAGATGAAAGCTGTCCCAGACGCGAGGCCCACCATACTTGACCATTTCAGCAGTAACTCTGTCTAGTCCCGCAGCCTTACCACATTTCAAACTTCGAATCGCACGTTCAATCTCTTTCATACTGATAACCTCAGTGTCATCGAGGTCCAGGTCTGGCGTACCAGTCACGGCGTCATCCTCGGATCCCTCAGTAAGATCATCACACGCATACATTTCTCTATAAAATTCGCTCCATCGCTGCATGACGTCCGATTTTTCTGAGAGGACGTCATTAGTTCTCGAAAGCACTTTGTTCATTCTTAAGGCCGTCGCACCACTTCGGGTCCTTCCAACCTCTTTCCAGAAGAGTTTGGAGTTCTCCTTAAAGTTGTGCGACAACTTTTCGTCCGCTTCCATTCTACACCTTTCACGCACTTCCTCAATCAATGCTTTCGTGTGAACTTTCTGCAGCCTATATCTTTCTTTCATCTTCTCTCTTATATCCTTATCATTACTAGAGTCCAAGTAGTCTAACCATGCTTTCTTCTTCTTCTTTACAGCTTCTTTCACTTCATCATTCCACCATGCATCTCTTCTTTTACTACTGCCTCTTTTTATTGTTCCACACACTTCTTACGCTGCACTTACCATTCCATCCCTAAGGTTCTGCCATGTTCTTTCTACACATTCGTTTCTGCCATCGATGTTGTCAAGCTTTTCGGCTACCCTCGCATGATATTTGTCCCTAGTATCCGCTTCCTGAAGCTTCCAGCTTCGGATGCGACAGACCGACTGTGGTTCTGTCACTGCCGTCCGGTAGCGCCAACCCGCGAACAGACCCCTAAATCTAGTAATCACTAGATAGTGATCCGTTCCCAGGTCAGCACCCCTGAACACTCCCGTATCCATAACCTGTTTTCGCAGTCGGTCATCCACCAGGAACAAATCGATCATACTTCTCTCATTCTTTCTTTCTCTAGTATACATATGGATTTTCTTGTGATTAAACATAGTGTTTCTCACAAGAAGACTCTTTTCCTTGCATACCGCCAGTATAAGATTGCCAGCATCATTAACCCCCTTTATCGCCAAACTTTCCAAGTACCGACCCGTACCCTGGTCGAGCGGTACCAAGCCATCCATTCAAATCACCACATTCAACAATTCTTTCGTTTCCCCTAGCCAAATCTAGAACTTCTCTTACATTCTCCCAAAACTCCTCCAGCTCAGCCCTGGACGACGAAGCTACCGGCGCATAAACAGCCAAAAGGAATAACTTCGTCAGTCCCAATTTAAAGCGAACCCAGAGAAGTCTTGAGTTCACAAACTTATATTCAGTCATAACATCGACCAACCGAGAAGACAGCAGCACCCCCACTCCCTGGCAGATGTTCTCGCTCTCCGGGACTCCGCACCATAGAGCTAACGCCCCGCCAGGGAGCTCTTCAGTACCACTGCCCTTCCGTTTGGTCTCCGACATACACACGACATCTAATTCTCTTTCTTTCATTATTTCGATCAACTCATTCGTCTTATCTCTCATGCCTCCTCTAATATTCCACGTGCCAACTCTGCACTCTGTCCTCCACCTTCCGCCATGTCGGGCTGTGCGTGACGGGTGGCGGTCCCATCGCCGCTTTGCGCGCTGCATTCCACACCAATGGGGACGAGCTGGTGTGCGTCGCCTTGGGGGGACGCCCTAACCCTCGTTGGCATGGGTGCGCAGCTGAGTAGAATTGCAGCCCTGAAAAGGGCTGGCAGGGTCGCGACGGACACGCTTCTACAATGACGCCCTACAATGACCCCCCTGAAATAACGAAGTTTTTTTTTAATAATAATAGCCTATCGAATAATTTTTAGTAAGAATTCGTCCTCTTCTTTAATGATTTGTGGTTCATTAAATAAAATGTAATAGCGGGGACGATCTTGAATTTGTTCACAGACGGCAAATGCTTACTAGCCAATGCCTGAGTGAATGTAAAAATCCTTTGTTTGTTTTCTTATGTGTCCTGTTGTAGTGGTGCAAGTATTTCTGTTTTAAACCAATTTATAAGATAACTAATCGATTTGGCTCACTATTGGATATAGTGGAGTGTTTGGTTTGTGTATTTCGGGTACCTAACCCATAAACTTAGGTAGTTATCACATGGTGGTACTATCGAATTAACGTCTAGGTAAAAATTTTCAGATTAGGGGGAAGTCCCGTAACGCCGGAGTATAAATCTGTTCGATTCAAAATACAAGTGAAAGGGGCGCGGGGGGCACACAGGTACAGGATCACGCGCCGCGCATCGCCAGTGACGCACACGGCCACGGCGGGAGCAACCGTTTGCTGTTTTAGGCGCGAAATCACGGCGTCACCTAAATATCAATGTAAGTAATTCTAGTATATTTATGCATTTACATTTGAGTGGTATGCAAAGATAAAAGTAGTACTTGATTGTTATCCGTAAAATGGTAGAATATTATTAGATCTTTTAAACAATTTTAGTAGGTACCACTTAATGAACGAAAATGTCTGTCCCTTAGCACCGGACACTAAGCCGTCCCTTAGCGCCGGACAGTAAACATATTGATATTTCTTGTGAGAATTTATGTCATTTATTCTAATTATTTATTTTGTTTTAGAGTATAGAAGAAAGAAGATATTTAAAATGGAAGAGAGGAAAAAGAAAGGATCCTGGGAGCCACAGAGCTTACAAACTGCTATTGGTAAGGTTATGTCAAAAGAACTGAGTGTAAGAAAAGCTGCAATGCAATACAATATTCCTAAAAGCACTATACATGATAAAATAAAGGCCCTAAATCGAGGAGAAGAAGTAACAATGAAACTAAAGTTAGGTAGGTTCACTAGCACCTTCTCAGCAGAGTATGAACAAGTCTTGGTGGACCACATTAAAGATTTATCGAATAGATGCATGCCGCTCATGAAAAAGGAGTTTCTAAAATTAGCATACGACTTAGCTGAAGTCATGAAGATTCCTCATCGATTTAATAAAGAAAAAGGCAGTGCTGGTAAACATTTTTACTACGACTTCATGAAAAGGCATTCTGACATTTCGTTGAGAGCACCGGAATCGACAAGCATGATGCGCGCCGTAGGATTTAACAAACCACAAGTGGATCTATTCTACGACAACCTTGAAAAGCTGATGAAACAGTACAAATTCACACCCTCAAGAATTTATAACTGTGATGAAACTGGTGTCAGTTGCGTGCACAAACATCAAAAAGTTCTCGCTCCGAAAGCCATCCGTCAAGTAGGTAAGCTCACTTCTGCTGAGAGAGGCAAAAACATCACAGTTTTGTTCTGTATGAGTGCTAACGGTCACTACATACCCCCATTTTTCGTATTTCCTAGACAAAGAATGAATGAAAGGCTTATGGTGAATGCTCCAGCTGAGAGCATCGGTGTGGCCCAGCCAAAAGGGTGGATGAATAGTGACTTTTTTTGCAATATCTAAGAATATTCGTCAAACACACGCAACCAACTAAAGAGAACCCTGTGCTGCTTCTAATGGATGGCCATTGCAGCCACAAGACATTGGCGGTAATCAATTTTTGCAGAGAAAATCATATTCACTTGATGAGTTCACCACCACACACTACGCACAAGCTCCAGCCTCTGGACAGGACATTTATGAAGCCATTTAAAGATGCATACAGCCAACGATGCGACTTGTGGATAAGAACAAATGCTGGATGTCGGATAACGGATTACGACATTGCTGGTTTGGTCAAAGAAGCATTTATAAAAGTAGCTCGATTGGATATTGCAGTATCTGGATTCAAATGCCCTGGAATCCATCCATTTGACAGACATTTATTTTCTGACCTAGATTATTTGGCTGCATATATGACCAATATACCACTAGAACAAACAGAAACTTCATCGAACGCACTAAACAACGAACAAGCTGTCGTGATATCAAACTTAATCATAGAAGAGCAAATGAAAGAATCTGAACAATCTATTAGTGAGCCTATAACCACAAGTCCCAAACCGTCGACAAGTACTGCTCCCGATCTTGTTCAGATAATCCATAACTTATCACCGTTGCCTGACGCAGCAAAAAAACGAACAGCAGCTCGAAAAAGAAAGAGTGAACGAAGTGAAATTTTAACTTCATCGCCATACAAAAAAGTGGCAGAAGAAAAAGAAAATGAAAAGAACATGAAAGATAAAAAGAAGGAAATAAAATCTAAGTTTAAAGTAGCAATGGGAGGTAAAGGAAAGCAAACCAAACGAATTAAAACCAAAGGAAAGAGCGTAGACAAGGGAAAAGAAGCGACAAACGTGAGACCTAAAGGAAAGAAAGGAAGTGAAGTAGAACCATTAACTGAAACATCTAACACAAACATAACAATTTGCGTAGTTTGCTTAGAAGACACTGACGAAGACTGGATCCAGTGCTCATCCTGTCGTGGGTGGGTACATGAAGCATGTGCAGACATTCCAGAGTGTGGTGATGGCTTCATATGTGATCGATGCAGGTTATTTTGAAATGTCCAGTGCTAGGTGTATGGCACAAATATTCGTCCGGTACTAGGTGCCACTTTTTAAAATTATATTTTTTGTTACCAAAGTTTGATTGATAGTATTAATTATTTTTTAGCAGAGGTTGCATTTTTGTTAATTTAATTTGATTTCTAACTTTGTTATCTAATATAAGTCATAATTTAATAAACATTTCTTAAAATATTTTTTGTTTTATTTATAAATAACCTTAGGTGTCCGCCACTAGGGGACTTCCCCCTATTTATAAATAAGAGCGATAGTTGTTTCAAGCGTATTAGTTGTAAAAACTGTTTAGTAATTTTGGTATGGACTTGAGTCCGATAAAAAATCTTGTATTTTAATTTTATATTGAATCATCTGTATACTCCATTCTCTCGTTTACAAGTATGAAGGACTTTTAGGGAGAAAGCACTTCTTACTTCTGTAAATCCACGAGTTTAAAATTGCTACGTAGCAACTTTACAGACTTATTATTAAGGTTTTCACACATTCATATTTATATCATTAGATCAATTAAATACATTCTCAGACCACCCTAACTATATAAATTCTAAAATTTTGCAATACAATTAGAGGCAAATAAATCTTTAGCTTTCTTAGAAGTTTTAGTCATTTGAAATTCTAATAACGCCAACAGTCGTAATGTGTATAAAAACACACATTGACTGATATTTAAATAGTAAATCTCACCACCCTACATACTTGCTTTAGCACAAAGGAGCTGTGATTCACTTACACTAGACACTTAGCTATCGAGCTCCAACACATTAAGCAAGTTTTGCACGACAACAAGCTTTGCGTCCCACGACAACTTTACAGTGACTAAATGAAACCGATCACAGTCCAGCGCATTCCAGCTATATTGCCATATTTCAGAAGAGTCACATACAAGACTTTTTAATTGATAAACCACAAATCCTGACAAAATATTCCAAGAATTCAAGATGTTATAAGTTCTTTGTGCGTAGATCGGAGCAAAAATTAAGATTTATAAACCAAAGGTGGCTAGGGTTAACTATGACATCAGAAAGTCGCACACTTTAGTCCCCAACGTGATAATGGGTGCCCGTCACGAAACAAATTGTGACATAATAATAAACTAAAATCTGCAAAATTAGTTTCATTCAATTGGCATAAATATTAGAGATTATCTTGCGATTTGTTGAGAGATATATGTGGTCTTCAGTGATGATAATTAATTGACAACGTATATTATTCATGTATTTGTTTTTATGTTAATAGCTGAAGCTTTTCTTTGCAGCGTTATAACGTTAATTGCCTAGAGAATTTATCCCAACTCTTAAATTCTACTCACGTTTTGCAATGAGTTGCTGGAAACATTTGTCTGTACGCGTCCTGATTTCAGACACAGATATTGTTCGAAACAAACTGCATGATACTATTCGGATTCCGTGATCAATAATTCCTTTAATTTCTTGTTGGGTTGTACTGATTTGCTTTTCCTGTGTTGAGTAATTTAATTAATTCACATTTTTATGTAATGAAAATACAAATGTTTCTACTAACAGATTATTGGTAACTCCTTAGGGCCGTATTCAGTTTAGGGACTACTGTTTGATTTAAACTTTATAGAGCAAAATCAACTCAAGCTTTGATGGCATTAACTGTAGGACTGTTAACGTTAAAACATCATGCTACTTCATTTTATATGTATTGAAAAATAAAAACAATAGTAAAATGGCACTTAATTACGAAGTTCATCCTCATTATTTTAAATTATTTAAGAGTGCATTGCAAAAGCCACTGTCATACTACAGTTGTGATAGGTTTCCTTCAGCTTTCATTTATAAGTTTTTGTTTCGTTAAGTTAATGTTGTGTGTTGTTTTGATTTCTAAAAGAGAATTTCTAAATGTCTAAAGGAGTAGGATTGATTATAAATGTTGTCTGTTTTAGAAAAAGTAAACAAAAAAAACTCAATAAAAAGCCACAAAAATAAAACACGTTGACACGAAATAACACCTCGGGCCCAGGAATTTTTATAATCCTTACTACACTAGTACAAAATTTTATAAAAACTTAATTATATATATAGTAAGCAAAGTTTAACTAACATCACTATCATCATATTTTACCCCTGTGACCATAGTAAGGGAAAGCTCTCGAAATGTAAATATTTCTAAAAAAAAAGTTAAAACAAATGTGACATACTGGTTATTTCCGCTATGAGCCAAACTAAAGGGAAGGCCTATATTCGGCAGATGACTCTTAATAAGCTGTAACGATATCGGTAGAATTCCTGTGTTTGTTAAGTAAAACTCTTAACACGTGGTTCAATTTAATTAGTCTTAGTAACTCTGGATAAATAATATTTGTTCAGAAAATTTTTGATAGTATTGGTATTTTAAATTTTTGAATGAATAAAATTTTAATTTCAATAAGGTCATCATTCAAGAAATTTCAAAAAGTACAAAAAATTCTTGAACTATCAGTAAAAATGGTAAAGTTACAGCTTATTTACGTCCCAGTGCTCGGCACAGGCCTCCTCTCATTTCTGAGAGGGTTTTTGGGGCAAGGAAATGTCCGCGGCGCTGCCCCAATACGTGTTGACAAACTTCTCATGTCTTCGAAATATTTTTTTCTTATTTTTCAGACATGCAGGTTTCCTCACGATATTTTCCTTCACCGCCGAGCACGTGGTAAATCAGCACTTAAAATTGCAATTAACAATTTCATTGGTGCCGACTGGGATCGAACCCGGGTTGCTCGAGTACTGTGAAGCTCACAGTGAGCGCTAACCATGCTGAGCTACCACGGCAAAAATGATAAAGAATAATAATGATGTGTCAAACGATAAAAAATGCGGTAACATACTAATAATGCATCACTTTATAAAAAATGTGTTCAATAACTTACTATAGATATATTCGCAAGTTATTCAGAATAAATTATGTAATAATGGTACTGGTATAAAATATACTGAACTATAAATTTCAATAAATAATAATTCATTACGCCATGGAGTCATCAGTCATGGAGAATTCATTACGCCATTTCGTCGCATCGTAAAAAGCATCTATAGGAAATGCGAGAAATATCTTAAGGCTTCCGGTAGATGGCGCAATATTCAAAGCTACCCATTTTCTACGATGGATGATTAGCTACGATATTCATTGGGCTGTTAAGCCTGAGAGTCCGTCTGTGACGGTAACACCGGTCAGCTCCTTTCCTACAATATTTTAGCCATTTCTGCCGGCAAGTGGCAGATTTTTTTACTTAAGTAATCATTAATTACAGTCTATCAAAACCCACTGTTAAAGATAGTCTGCTGGACTGGGCTGATGCCCCATATATGGTATATTTGCCATAGCTGTCACGTTTGGTAAATAGGTCAGTTGCCTTACTTTTAATATTATTATTACATTTTTATTAGAAAGATGGTGCTATTCATTTTCTTAAAGCAGTAGTGCACCCACATTTTCATCTAGTCTAAAACGTAACCCACTTTTTCATCTAGTCTAAAACGCAGTGGTAGAGCCACGCGGCAGCTTTTGCTGTCGCATGGATGGGCCGGCTCGAACCGGGGTGGTACCACGACCTCACAGAATACCAGCGTGAAGTAGAGGTTTACCTCTGCGTTTCGTTTGGTGAGTGCAGGTGGCTGGAGGCCCTTTTTACTGGAAATGAGGCATTCCATCTTAGTCCTCACGGGTGACAACGCATCTGCATTTTGATTCGCAAACGAGGATAGATGTAGATGTCTATGGGCCGCAGCAACCACTTACCATCAGGAAAAAAAAACGTAATCGAAACAGAAATACGCACTCATGTTGCGAAGTCTTGCACCTTAGTTCTCAGCAAAGACCATAAATCTGTGGCCTTCTTCGTTTTTACTTTTGGTTGAAGGTGTCCGTAGGCTGCAGTAACCACTTAGCATTTAGGTGGACTGTAAAAAACAATAATACACATTAGTAGTTAATTTCAAT